TTGCATTTTGCATTGAAAAGAGGGAAAAAAATGTCCAGATTTCATAGGGTGCAATGTGAATATGGTATCATTCCAAGGAAACTACTTGCTGATACCATACCATCTGCGATTACTTTCTATTAACAGAGGTTTCATACTAGCGAAGTCCTCTGTTCTTTTGTGAGGAGAAAAGAGTTCTCATCCCCCTACTGTATTCTATAAAATAAGTAGCCTTTTTAAGATTAAATTTACTGTAAAATGCATGAAGCCTTATTATGCATAATGTAATCTTTTCTATCCGAGCTCTCACCACACTCCATTTCTGCATAATAGCAAAAATCACCCCTTCTCATTCTATCATCCAGCTTCATTTCTCTTTTTTCACATATTTACATTTCAAAAGTTCCCATTAGCTTTTTCTTCTTTTCTTTCCATTTGCATTCCCTTCTCCCTTTCTCTTCTCCAGCACAAATCTAGATCCCTCTGTGCACAATCTCTTCTGTGCCTTCTGAGGGTACTATTAGGATACTATTACTTTGTAGCCATATTTCCCTACTCTGCCTCCCACATCTGCCTCCTTTCCCCACACCTTCTTCCATGACAGTCCGCCCCTGACCCCTTTGTTTCCCACTTATTCTGACTGAAGCACGTATATTCCATCAAAAAAATTGATAGGAAAAAAAAAAAAAAAACAACCAACCAACCAAACAAAAAACAACAAACAACAAAACAGACACATGCATTCAGAGGGTGAAGTTCATCCAATCTGTTTTAAATGTCTGCATTAAGTCATGATGAATTTTGCATTAGAGGCAGTTATTTCCATTGACTATGAAGCCCAGCTTTCTGGCTCTGACAAGATAGAGTACAGCACTCAAGTAAAGAGAGGATACATCCACTCTGGATGTCCAGAGTCCTAAAGGTCTAGGAACAATTTCTCAGCTTTTCAGTAATTTGACTCCCAGTTTTCAAATATATGTACCTGGGCCTGTAACCTGTGCAAGGTGTTCAGCTGGATCTTCCTCTAGATCTTGATTAGTATGGAAACAAGATTTTTCTCCCTTTTTCTTTTTTTTTTTTTTTTTTTTTTTTTTTTTTTTTTTCTTTCTTCACAGTATCTCTGAAATATGGTCACATCAAGCTATCATTATCTTTCACACTGTTCACTCCCGGTAAATGATATCCTACCCTATTTGTTTATTTGTTCAGAATAAAGCCATAAAAACACTTTTCTTATTCTTCCTGTTTGCTCACCTCGTTATAGTCCCTCTTAGAGATATATCTTTTACACCAAACATAGGTAGCAATATGAGGGCCTTAAAAGTAAGGACAGCTTTTTTTTCACCATATCTGTTATATTTCATTTATTAAGATGCTAGCTTCACCCACTCATTAAATTATCATATAATCAGCTACATATCTCATTTGTTTTCTTTTTCTCAGCTGGCCTTAAACGGCCAGGGGATGTGAAGCAAGGCTCTTGTGAGTATCCATGAAATAATCTCCTTCAAGAGCCATCTTAAAATTTAAAAAATCTAATTTTTTTATACCTTGGCCATGGTTAGAGAGCTAGTATGCCAAAACAGTGACTACCAAATGAACAACATTGTGTCCTTCCAATAGCAGAGGTACCATGTCTACCTGGGCAAAACACTGCTATGCAGAGACACCTAAATTAGCTTTGGCTGAATGAATTCAGAATGGAAACTCAGCGTAACCAGCTAATTAGATCTTCTCAGAACTGGCTGAGAAGCAGAACTAAATTACTTGAGATGAGTGTAATCGTTTTACATCTGGCTGGTACCAAAGGTATTTCTGGCACAATACGATACCAGTGAACCCTGCACAGAGGGCTTGTATGTCGCTTTTTTTGCTGATACCCATTTCAGTTTTGATGCTACAGCACCAACTCTTCTCCTTACTATATATATTTGCAAATATTTCATCATGGAGGAGGTAAATGTGCCTGGCTGATCCTGAAGACAGCCTGCTGCTGGGTGTGGTATATCCCTCTAATGCCTTTACTGTTGAAGATTCAGAGATAAGCCTTCTATTTTTCATGCTACAGATATTAACATTTAATTTTATACTAGGAAATGTTGCTGTCTCTTCATGTGGAAATAAGGCTACAGGGCCAGCTCTCCAGCAGCTTTTAGAACTCCTGTAACCTGTGATACCTGGGAGAGAGATACTATGAGCTCTGTGAGATTTTACAGACAATTAATGAAATCTACATTTTTGCAGTTTAGAAAGACAGATTGCACTATGTGCCTGGCAGTAATGACTCCATCCCAGTGCATCTTGTATGTAGTAAGGCACATCTACAGATCAAATTGGCAATTTCCAGCCCCATGCGTTTTCTGCATTTGTCTGGAACTTTCCTTCCCAAGATTAGATGAATTTTGAGATCAGAGATGCAGTGGCAAATCTGCACTTTTCCTCAGATCTCCCCCTCTGCTTCCCCCAATATCTCATAAAAGGTATCAGCTCTTCTTTTCTGAGGCACTTAGTGCTATGCATACTCTGAATGGAGAAATTATCAGACTTTGGAAGGGGATTTTGCTTATTCAATAACAATCATAAACAAATTCTCACAGCAGGCTCAATACAATACTGATTATTTCTCTGAAGGAAGCAAGAATTAAACCTGCCCCATCCCAGTCAGAAGAGATTCTGCAGTGTGACAGATGCTATGGCTCAAACCCCAGAAACACTGGGTGTTATCTAAAGAATATTATCTCCAGCAGAGTCTTCTTTTTCTTAAAATTTATTCATGAACTTAGATTTCATAAAACATGTGCAGTGTTCAACTGTACAATAGATTCTTTTTAATAAATTTGCTTGTTGGACTGTTTACAGACTAATAATATATGTGTAACTTAATTAAAAATGTGAATAAATTGGACTGTATTTTAAAGTGTTTTTCCAGATTCATACATGAAGACTTAAACCAGAGCTTTAACGAAAACTTGTTTCCAAACTAGCTACTGTGGGTGAGCACGTGACTGTAAAATAAAACAGCATAAAGTTTCAACCATGACATCTGTCTTAGATGTTACTGGGTACCCAATAAAATCAAGTAAGATAACAGTTCAGCTATGTGAATAAACACTGGGTGAAAACATGCAGTTCAAGAACACACTTTCAAAGCAAAGTGGTAGAGATTTTTGGAGTTGTTTGTCTTTTCTGTTCCCCAAGATTATTATTCGGCCCACACAACCAGCAGAATATTCTCTGGGAACAGAGAGCAACTCAGAGTAACATCCCAACATGTGCAAGACATTTTGTTCATCATGCTCTAGAGGAAACTTTCAAGACAAATAGGGAGCCAGCTATGGGTGGTCTTCAGAACTTGAAGAATAATGTGTTAGAGTAGCACAGCCCTGGAAAACATACCTATAAGGGTTAACATATGCATTTACGTCTGCACTATAGGTTCCGCATGTGCGTGTGATAGTCACATCCGACCATGTATGCTGGAGGGCAGTAAGTACAGCATGTTGTAAAAACACAAGCTTCCTTCTAATTTCAAACAGCCAGAACACCAAGTTCAACGTCAATCTGCATTTTTCTCAGGCAAATTGGGAAAGAAGAAATTACAGATATTTTCAGCCAAACAGCATAGTAGCAAAACTCTGCCATTATTTCACCAGTTCTTAGAGACTTTAGGTAGTCCAAGATAAGAGATGGAATATTCTTTGCCATTGTAATAGCAATGAGTAAAAAGGAGTGGACTGTACGTGTCAAAAAATGTAGCACAATGTGACCCGTATCTGTCAGCTGTGCTTATTTCCCTTTAAATTTTAATTCTTCATGTCACAATGTTGAACAAATCTAAATCTGGTTACCTAGTGTACTAAAAGGTCATTAAAATATAAAATTATGACAAATGCAGCATGGAGTAGATTTCTGCAACTCATAAGATAAATCTCTCTGACCTTCATAAGAAAAAGGATCCATTTTTTAAGACTTAAGGTTAAAGAGTTCATGCCAAAGTTATTTCACATATCTGTTTTTGATTGTTGCAGAAGATGCACTGTACAACTGCTCTCCTGAAATCAATATTGCTGACCTTTCAGACCATGAACCCTGTCTAATCAAAGAAACGGCCTTCTAATTTTTTTTTTTTTAATTTGAACTGCTTTATGTGGATGCTGTCCATAATCTGTGAAGTCACAGATTAATGTTTATAGTCCTGATACAGTTGTAAATAAAATGCCAGCATAATGATAATTTCACGGTGCAATATCTGCTGCACTATTAGCAGCTCTCTGTAGGATTGAAGAAAACCTGAAACATTTGTGCCAGTGCTGATCACAGATTCCAGAGTAAAAATAACTGCCTCAGTCTGGACCATTTAACGAACTACATTTTCCAACTAAAATAACACTGTCTGCATTTGTTAGGTTTAACACCCATTCTAGGAAGCCTATACAAAATAAACATGAGGCTAGGTAACCTAAGGACAAAGTAAAATTTGTGGGACAAAGATTCCAAAGTAAATAGTATGATTTGAAAATGTGAAAAGCCCTTTTTTTATTTCTCAAATGCAGTTAAATTCAGCTTTTCAGCAGAATCCCAGTAAAGTTCAAAACTGACCAGCAGATAACTTTAACACAGGGCAGCTGCAGTCCCGGTGCTAATTAACAGCCTCAATCACTCTCATGAAACCCCCCCGGCTCCTCATTTATGTGCCTCTATTGTAAAGCCTCTGACCCGATTCCTAAAGCCAAAATAAAATACGGTCTGTGCAGCAAACTGAAATCTCCCTGGAGTCACAGAGCTATGCCATGTTTCAGTTGAAGATTTCAGGATTCCTGTGTTAGTAACACCACACTGAGGAGCTGGTAATGGAGATGTGCTTGCGCATATGCTGCTGTCATTAGATCACCCATTTGTTTGTATACAGATCTCAGACTTCCAAGCTTAGGCTAATTTTAGCTGGACTCAGATGATCCTGCCAGATTCGCTATCCCTCGCTTTGCTAATTATTGCTCAGCACTCTGCTCCAGCTGACTTACCTTTTTCACTGTCTGTGAATTACTGCCAGGGAGGAAGCAGTGAGTGTTGCTTGGGGAGACCTCCTTGTATCTGCCTTGCTGTGTTTTAGTCAGTTTGTTGGGTGCAATCCCATTAACAACTGCCGAAAGGATGCTGCTGGTCATGAGAGGAGTCAGGGTCTGGCAGAACAAGCAGATGGCCACCACTAAGGCCAGAAGGAAGGGACGAGGGCGACAAAGCCTGCGGCACCTGGGGACTTGCCCACAAACCATGGCCTCTTTGCCGTCCTCACTTCGCCTTTTGCCACATTGCAGATGCAGTCCAAGTAGCCACGTCTTGCCAGGGTGAGGAAAGTCAAAGGCACGCTTTACCCAAAACTATGGAGAGCTCTCCCCCGTTTCTGCTGCTGAGCTCTTTCCTGGTGCCTGGCAAGAAGTCACGGGTTCCAGAGGAGCAGAAGCTTGGGAAGTAGCCTCCCATGGGGGTACGGGAACAACCTGTGAAAAAACAACAAGTGAGCCGCAGCAAACAGCAGCGTGTCATGGGGCGTTCCGCAAGGAGCCGTAGCGAGCTCATCCACGCTGAGCTCTTGGGAGAACAGAGCTGCCGGCAGACAGGTGAGGAGCAGAAATCTTCACCCCCTCTGCAGAAGGAACTACTCAACCATAGTATCCAAGAAAGCAAGAGGTTAAAGCTTAACACATCCTGTCCACAGCTGAAAAGAGTAAGAGAGTGTACCAACTTCGTGAACAATCGTTTGCTGTTTTTTTCTCTCTTGCATTTTCAATTCCCACTTTGTTTTTACAGTTTCCTTCATTCCAGTCCTTTTAAATTGCCTCCTTCCTGTCAGCATGCACAGCTTTGTCTCTAAAAGTGATCATTTATCTGCAAACTGACAGACTATGAAGATTTTCATTTGTGTTTGTTTTGTCCAGATTGCGAGTTCAAAGTTAGGTTTACTTACTCAGTTCTTATCCTGTTAGAAGTTTTCCGTTCTCCTCTAATGGGCTGCTGATTAAAACCACTTGGAACAACCCTGGCTCATGATCCCAGCTCGTCTCACACACTCAGAAGGCAGGCACACGCACATACACACGCCATCTGAAGCCAGTTGGACCACAGATTTCATATAAATAAAGGCTGGACTGCTCAGAGGGTGGGGCTAAACCAGCTCCGCTCTGAGCAGGCACGACGCAGTCTGGGAGCTGGATGGGGAACAAGAGGTGTCCTTGCTCACACTGCATGCCTCGAAGCCACCATCACTGCAATTTTTAGAAAACTGCTGTTATAGCAATCAGCCTAATTGAAACAATATTATCTTGCAGGCAGTAGAAATCTGAGTAGCACCTGCAGTATTTTAATCCAGATTAACAAAAATGTTGTAAAAGGAAGCAGATTTACTTGGACATAAGCACCACTGACAAAGCAGTTGTCAGTAATTTTCCATAGTAGATATAATATCTCATAGCAGTGTATAAATAAAACTTCTTACTGATGTCAAAGAGGGAAAAAAAAAGGAGGGCGGACAAAAATACTCCAATGAAAGCACTTAGTATCTAAGCCATAGAAGATCTTAGTTACTACTTCCCCCTGCTGACACAGGATAGGGACAAGACAGATGGGAACAGTTGAAGAAATCTGTTATCTTTGTAGACCTAACCTTCTCATATAATCAAGTTATTTTAGCTAAAAATATCTGTATACAAGTTGTCTATTTTATCCTCCATCCTTAGGTATTTTTTAAAAGAGAGTTCTTCCTACACTGCCTTATATATAAGAAATGAGCATTGTTATGATAACTTTGAGCCAATCTACACAGTACAACAGCGGCAGCATCGTGAGCAAGTTAGAGGCCTATATAGAGCAATGAAGAGTAGAGTACATATTTATTTGAAGTGCTGGTATTTATTCAGCATTCAAATTTTTTTTTTTTTTTTTTTTCATACTAAATCCATTAATTTGCACATATAGAAGAATGACACGGAAGTGATTCAACACCTCGCACAGAACCTCAGCCGTCACATGCACCGCATTTTAGTTTTCTGTTTGAGGCTGTAGTTGTCTAAATTAGACTCCTGGGTTATCCTGAGCAGGAAAGGAGTACAAAACTTGCCTCTATCCTCCTGTAATAGGTACTTGCCAACCACACAGGAACTTCCATCTCTGCTCCCTGGAGACATGTTGCTCTTGTTCCCTTCTTCCCAGGGCACCAGCTCACATCCTCGGGCCCTGCTCCAGCCAGTCTGTGCTGCAAAGCCTCTGGAGAGCCAACAGATCTGGCTAGAGGACATCGAAAAACCCTGGGTTCCCTGCAGCTGGCTTCGGGGTGGGTCTATGCCACACAAAGGAGAGGGGTACCCAGGGAGCTGGAACATTCAAAGGAGGAGTGCAGAGACACTACAGCCAGCCTGGGAGCCACCATAACCCCATCAGCAGAGGAGGAGGGAATAGTAGAGTTGCTTTATTGTTTTAAGAGATTGTCCTGTGGTTTTTGGCATGCCCTGATTTCTGGGCCCACAAACACCAGCTGTGTGGGTGGCATTTGCATGGTTGTCAACTTCTCTCAGATTGCTAGTGAGGGGATTTTAGTCAGAGCTTTATGTGCTATTGGTAGAAGAATTTTATTGATTAAAACCAGTTTATAAAGATTTGGATTAATGGTTGCTTCCGGATGTGGAGATCATTATCCCTTTCTAGAGTCCCACACTAGAACAAAGTAATCCTTTCTGTCCTCACCCCCTTCTCCCTCAGTTACCTTCAGAACAGACAGTAAGCATGCTGTCCCTCCAGCCCATCATTTTCCCCTTTCAAGCTCGTAAGTGGTGTCTTTATCCTCACATTTTCCTCAGTTTCTCAGAGGCAATTTATTGTTCCTGCAGCCCCAAGATCACTCATGGGCCCCAAGTCTTCAGGACAAGCTGACAGCGGTTACTCATTTACTGTACCAAGACTGATACTGCAAAAACAGAGATGAAGGAATATCAGCAGAGGCCTGGCAGATCACTGCCTCCTGTGTACTCCTCAGGATCAGCCTTCTGTTCATCTGCTTTCCCAGATGTTCCAAAAAGGGAATTGACTTTTTTCCCTGTGTTTTGTGGTTTCTTTTCATGACAATAGCATGTAACACACATTTCTTACGCTGTAAATACTTCTCTAAATCACAGCTAGAGTGCAATGAACATAATTCCTGTCATCTTTTGAATCAGGATTCCACCACGTCTCTCAGCTTACATGTCTACTTACTTATCTGGTCACATTCTGACACTTCAGAAATTAAGCCAAGATTATTGCAAGTGGGGACTAATTCCCCTGGCATTAACTAGTCACTTACAAAAAAGATATAAGTGGATAAAGAGTCAGGCCTCTTGGGTAGCAAACTTGTCAGTCTTCAGTGCATAATATTCAAATAACCACAGAACACAATTATTAGCCATATCAGAAATATCCAGCTAAGAATTTATACTTGCAGGTATACGTACATATTTCAGAAATCTTAGCAGAAAGCTGCAAATCTCCTCTTTCTGACATACAAACCAAATCTAGTATTCATTCCCTATTTGGGATTCCCAGACCAGTTCCTTCCAGTGGCTGCTTCCACTGCATGGATTAAGGGCTCTCTAGCCTGCTTACCTCTCCCTACTCCTTCCCCTTACTCAGGACTGCTTTCCTGGGTGCTTCCTGCAGCAGCCAGCTGCTACCCTGCTCTGCATGAGGCAAGGTCCTGCGGGGATTGCTTCTGCCAAAACCAACCAGCCATGTCTGTCAAGAGCGATCTCCAGTGCTTGCAGCTGGAATCCCAGCTCCATTTGCACCCTCTAGAATAGACTGTAAGTGTTTAAAGACACCCTGACATAGAATAGGTGAGAGGAAAGACACAAGACTTACTAAAAACTGCCAGGGAGTAGGATTTGAAAGGACTTTGCCAATACGCCATGCAGGCATGTAAAGTGCACCATTCATCATCTCACTGGGGTTTTAAGCAATCCAACTCATATTCACACATCTTCCATTTTACACAAGTCTCTGTGTTTGTTCAGTGGTGAAAGCTAGTGACCACTGAAGTATGCCTTCCATGGTCTAAGTAGTGACCTGGACAGACATTTGCTGGGAGCCAACCAAGAAGAAAATATTAGGCACAGAAAGTTAGCAGGAATTTAAGGCCAGCTGAATAGACCCATTTCATGCATGCTTAACTTCACTCAGAGATCTAACATGAATCATACTGCAACTCTGAATAAAGTTAAGTCCAGATATAAGTGCTTGTAAGATCAGGACTTGATATAATAAAAACCATTTTGCATGAAAAATTTCACCATATTGAGGCTGCCAAGAAGAAAATATGTTTAAAAACCTCTTCGCAACTGCTCTTTTCTAGAGCAAGTTTCAAATTACAAAGTATAGCATCCTAGCAACCATTTCAGAGATTAAATGAGCTCACATGAAAAATGAGCTCAAACAGATCATTTCTAAATTAACTGACAGTCAAGTCCTTGTAATAATGTCTGTCATCTTCACAGTGCAAACCTATATGCAATTTTCATTGCTTATGGTCAACTCTTTAATTTCTTTTTTTATTTTCTAGAATACTGAAAACTGTGCCAAGGGCCATAAATTCTCACTAACCTCAAATACTGGATAAAAGCTTCATGAACAATAGGCATCAATAGCATTGGAAATATTTAAGAAAAACATCTAGTTAAAACTGTGATGAAGAAAGCTTGCTCAGCTGCACCCTCCACAATTTTTTACTCTACCCTGAATTCAATCCAGACTGCAATTAGATTTGCAGTATCTTCAATCCTGCGTGTGGTCCCATTATAAGCAGTGAATGAGGAAGCCTGGCGCAGAGCGAAGAAAATAGGAGAAATATATGTCATTACTGTGCTGCACATTGGAAGATTTTATACTACTGAAGTTTAAATTAATCCCAGCACAGTAAAAACCCAGACTTTCTCCCCTTTTCCTGTTCATAGAACACTGTAAGCCTTAATGATATTATGATTTTGTTCCACAGAGCACTCCAGAGAACAAAGATTCACGACTTAATCCCACTTTGGCTCAGCTTTCTGATCTTGGCTCACAGTGAGGGCAGGCTAGCAGAGAAGATTCTGTAAATTCTTGGAAAGCAAAACAGTTGATGTTAATGGGAGAAGAGTTTTAGGGGAGACTCCCCTTTTGGTTTTGCTTCTTCTTATTGTTTGATTTATTTAATATTTTTTCTTTATATAAGAGGCAATAAATGATGTGGACTACACAAGAACTGTGATTACTTCCCTTATCATATGATTTACGGTCCATATATATATATCTATAGTCAATATATAGTCCATTTTAGATCCTTAGTCTATAAATTCTGTCAGTGTGTTAAGAGCTGTGATTGCTTGATGTTTTGCCCCAGGAAAGATGCCATTAGGCCTGTAGTTCCATGAGCAGATCAGCCGGTCTAGTAATTCCCATTTCTAGTAATGGAAAAGGGAAGGTCTTGCTTGCCCCCCTCTCCCCTGCCTTATAGCGTTTCCTCTTTACCTCTGCTCCTTCTCTTTCCCTTCCTCTCCTCCTACCTTGCTGTGGTGCTCATTAGGTCCCTTCATGAGAAAAAAAAATGCAGCTGCGTTGGTTTTCTGCCATGTGAGTGAGTTGAATTGGCTCTTGAAGAGGATCAGTGGACCCTAGAGCTGGTACCAGTTAAACAGCAGGAGAACACAAGGGAGAGAGGATGTAAACACAGGAAGGGAACGGGACCTTTTAGCCAGTGGCAAAGACTGATACTGAGGTCATCAGATTATTGAACCTACTCCAGCTTCCCTGAAGTTTTAGGCAGGATCTGGGCCAACTGAGTTATTTGTTCAGAGGCATCTATTTGTATCTCAGCCATGTTCTTCACTATTATCTTTTGGCATAAGGTTGAAAATGAAACACAGGTATCTATTTATTTATATATGTTAATAATACAGAAAATTGCTTGGCGTGAGGGTAAGGAAAAGATCAAAGTCTTATGAAGACATTGGTTCCTGCTTAAAAGGAAAATTTGCATGTCAGGAGGAAGAAATAAATCAGTAAATTCTTTGCTTCTTCCTGTC